AAGTCTCCTCTCGGTACAATTCGTGCTTCCGGATTTTCATCTCCTGGCTGAAGTAGGCCTTTTCTCTAAACTGCTCCTGCGCTGCCGGACGGCACAGAGCTAATATGATCAACTTCAACAATCTGATTTAATTAGAAATGCTGCTCAAACTGAAGTACTGTCCTGCAACCTGTTGCTGTCTGAAATGTTTCAGGTTTTGTCAATGCGCAAATGAAAGGATTCCCTACCTTGTCAAACATGAAGTTCTTCCGATTGTAGCTGAGGACGCCAGCTGTCACACGGATTTGCACCAGCTTGGACTCAAATAACATTCAACAACTATAGCAGCGTCAAATCTGCCAACGCGATTCAACATGATTCAACGATATTCAACGGATACCCGCTGTATCCGACACTGTATCCTGCTGTCTTTGCAAAGCCACGTGCCACGGATTGCCGCATGCGATTGCCACGGTTGCACCTCCAGCAGCGCCTGCCGCCAGCAACTCCATCGTGCCTTCAGCTCGGGAGATGGACGACTGGAAGTCGTTCAACCCACTCTCTCTGGGAGATTTCGGGAGATTTCGAGATTCGAGACTCTGTGAGGCGTTGTCAATCTTTGCATAAGGTACCTTCACGATGTCTCGGTCATGCCGTCATGCCTTCTAACTTTCTGGCAGGCAAGTAGAATCAACATAGAATCAACTGATACATTGAAGTGAGCTGGCGCGTGTCAAAGCCGCCTCAGCTCTGGAAAATTAGTGGGATTGGATGTCGGCAGCAAGTCCGCCGAAAGAGCTGTGGCAAATGCACAGCGCAGTCGAAATATGTTAACAAAATACAACATAATACAACTAGTTTTAATTAGTTTTGTACCAGTACTTGCAGACTCATGCATAACCTTGCGCTGAAAAACAAATTTCTGAAGTGTAGATTCTCCATGTCTAGAAGCATCTAGAAGCTGCATTGAGCCCAAGCATGATGCAGCAATTTATGAAACCGCAATGTAGTAGTGAGAGTCATTCGATGCCAGATCAATGGTGATTCCTGCTGAAGACTCTTTTTGCGTCAACGTTAGAAGCTGCCACGGCCTATTCTATTGCCGCATGGCCATCAGTTTGTACAGTTTGTGCTTCAACATTCTTCAACCATGGCTTCCCGACATGCTCTGCGCATGGGCTAAGGCTTCGGCAGCTGCCTCATTGGGTGGCATACCGGAACTGCGGTATTGCTCGAAAAGTGCCTTCACACGAGCTTGCAGCGTTGCCTTGTCCTCTGTCGCTGAAGGTGCTGGAGCGGCAGGTGGTGTCGGTGTCGCTGCCTTGCAGTCCATGGACAGTTTGATGGCCATTGCAAGCTCGTCCTCCATTTCCACCTCCATCTTGTCATCTTCAGGCTTTGGCCCTTGCATTGAAAGCTCCATAGCTGCCTGCAGCATCTCTTCCTGGCTCATTGAGCTTCCCCTTGTCAGATTACGTTGGAGTTCTGGCTTTTCAGGAGGTGCTCTGTCTAGAATGGCATGATCAGGTGGAGGTACCGGATGTGAAGAAATGGGCAAGTCCATGTGAAGGCCTTCACCCCGGAGGGCAAAGTTTGCTGCGTCTCCTGGAAGACCAACTGCTTGAATTGCAGTCCCACAGCGTATCGCACCACGAGCATAGGCAACGCCAATCAGAACCTGTCGGCTCTGTGGAGGCAAAGCGATAACTGCGTCGAAGCTCTCGCGAGAAGACACGCAACCAATGCTGTCAGAGGCGTCCACCTGCAATGCTGTCTGGACATCTGATTTATTCTCTGCCACGAAGGACATGCCTGCCTCCTCTTGAAGGAGCCAGCACGAGACACCCGGCGCTGCTTGCTGAATTGGCCTCTTTTTTCCTCTCCTCCGTGTGCCCTCGATCACTGCCATTGCAGTATCTGACCAATCCAAGGAGACACGCTCCGTTTCAACTGCCTGAACTGAATGTACAGCAACAACGGCTCGTCGCGGTGTAAACTCTTGAGACATGCCGTATGAAACTGGGACAATGCGATAAACATAGCCACCTTCCAAGATCATCTCTGAACTTACATCATCTGTGCGACCACGTTTTACTATCTCAGTCAGATCGTACTGGACCTTGCCATCAGAGACACCAATTTTGCGCAGAACTGCGAAGCCGACGTCGATGTTCGTGGCCTTTGCATGCAACGCAGCCTCCCTGGCAATGTGTTTTTCCTGCCAAATGCAAATGTCCACCGCTGTGCGTCTGAACACGGTCACATCAACTCCTTGACCAGGTCCAACTCCAGAAGGCAACCAAACCTGGCTACGACTTTCGCACCAACCTTCATGCACTCGGCAAATTTCAACAGCTCCAAAGTACTCCTTAACATCCTGGAAGTCCATCCAAAAAACGGACATTGGATCTTCCATTTCAACATTTGAGCTGTTCACAACTCCAAGGCGATATTTCAGCTCTGGTGTCCACTTGTCAGAATCTTTGCCCCAAGGACCTTTCCATGTTCGCGGAGCTCGCTCTCCCCATGGATTCCGAATCTTCATCATCCGCAGCAGCCGACCGTCCACCTCAATCTCTCGAACATCCATAATCCCATATGCATGAGGTGCCTGGGCAAAGGCCAAGGGACAGAGAGAAAGCAAAATGTCATTGGAATTTGGAAGACAAAAACAGACCTTCCCAGATTTTTCAAGTTGTTCGACAACTTGTTCTCTCACAGATCACAACTGTCAGCAATAATGGAACTTTGGCTGCAAAGGTTTCCTTCTTCCGAAGCAGCTTTGTTACTTTGATTTCCAGCTAATACAAAAGAAACATAAAAATCATCATATGAAATCATAGAAATTGTTGCGAGATGAAAAAGCTTCCTGTTGCAGACCCGAGAAACTGTCAACTACTACTGTCTGCCAAGGGAATTGTATAACAACAAAATGAAATGTACAGTACAAAGGCAAATGTCTTGATGTGCTCACGAACTTGTATTGTTTCCATCAAACTTCTTAGCAGTAGCAAATTGGATCATCTTGTGTGTGTGCGTGTGTGGTGGAAGCAAGCAGTGCACCCAAACGCTGACTTTCAAAAAAGGAGTTACTAAGTATATAAGTACTGCTGCATTTTTTTCAACATTCCAATTTCTCCCCTGCCTGAAGTCCCATCTCTTCGACTATGTGATGCTTGGTCTTCTCACAACCTTCCTCAGTGCAGCCCATACCCATCAAGTACCCACATTCACGGGCTGAGAGAATCTGGGACCACTTGAGGTCATCATTCTCCATATCATCATCACTGTCATCCATATCGGGAACTTCCAGACCCTGCAGCAGCATCATGGTCCGCTCATCCGCAATCTGCTTGCGCCTCTCCTCTCGGCGCCTTCGAAGCTCCTTGGGGATGTACAGCGGAAGTCGTTGGGTCGGAAAACCGGTGAAGAGCGCCAGAGCTTCACCAAAGGTGCCCCCCTTGAGCCCAGCCCAGTTGCCAAACAGCTTTGCTGCAGCCTTCTCCACCAGGGGCACCCACAGTTGTCGTCGAGAACCTTGGAGGTAGCAAAGTGTTCCACCACGGGAATAGTAGATTGTCTGTCCATCAATGTAACCTTCAAATATCTGAGAAGTGGGAAGAAGATCATCTATGAGGATCCGTCTCCAGCTGCCAGCATGATGCAGCTGCAGCAGGTAAGCACCACTTGGATTGAATTCTTTGGTCTCGAAGAGCTTCTCTACCATCTTTGGGCAGGTTGCAAGAACACTTAGAGCACCTGCGAACCAGCAGTTGCCCAAACCTCCCTGGCAGACATCCTCTGTGCGCGCCTCTCCTCGAATCAGTTTCCAAGGTGCCCCAACGGTTGTGTTGGACATGGAGTCGCGCAGAAAATGTGGGCACAGACGAGGGAGCAGCTCCTTGCCAGCAGGAAGATGACTGTACATCAGCTCGCACCCTTGGCAGTGTTCCCCTGGTCGTAACCACTGAGTCGGCTTCGAAAACCAATGTACTTTGATGGCATAATGCGCAGGTTCTCCGCAGCCAACACACTTTGCTTTGGCCGCAAAGTCCGCTTCCTGCTGTTGAGCTTCCTCCTGTGACCTTGGCAACGGTGGAGTCGGGGGCAGTGGAGAATGCCGCTTGCAGCTCAAGCATTGCCATGTTTCGGCATCTTCAGCGCTCAGATAAAGCGACTTTGAAGTCGGTGGAAATTGAGGATCCACATATTTGTCTCCAGTTTCTTTGCAGAACTGGTTGATTTTTTCCACTGCATCGAGCTCAATTTGGACATCCTCTGCACGAAACCGCTCAAAGGAAACTTCAGTTCTCTCATCGGGCTCGTCTCTTTCCAGACGCTCGGCTAAGGCCCGATCATCTTCCTCACTGGGCCGTGGCCGCTTAGTGGGACCAGGATCTCCATCATCCATGGAGAGCCGCAAGGCCTCTGCAAGCTCTGCATCCTCTGCATCAACCTCTGCAATTGGCTCACCATCAGCTGACATCGTCAAACAATCCAAGAGTTCCTTAGCTTGAAGGAAGTCGTCTCCTGGATTCCCTGATGGTAGTACCAAAGCCTCGCCCATATCGGTAAAGCCGAGGGCCATTAGAATCTGAATTCCAATAGGCGACAATTTCCCTTCCAATTTGCTCTTGGTCAATGTCCTGTACTTGCCTTCACCTGGATTTGCAATCACATTTGTTAGGATGCGCTGCAAAACACTGAAGTTCTTCAGCGACTCCTCAGGAGATAGGCTACTGCTGGCCTCTTCGATTAGGGTCGACATGGCTTTCGAATTCAAAGATTCAAAGATTACAGGAAACCCGTTTGAAAGCTTAAGTTTCTTGACTTGCTGTGAGAGTCTCGAGGCACGTTGCTGAATCCAACGGAGGCTGATATCAACTGCTTCAGACTGCATGACATGAGTTCGGAGGAAGCAGCGGTCCCTTTCTGTTCCTTGGGCTATAGACTAATCAGTGAGATTCAGTGAGTTTTTGCAGAGATGAGATTGTTCGAAGCTTTCTGTGTGATCAAGGAACTCATTCCGTAGCAAGCCATAGTTTCACTTGAAAGGGGCATGGCAGCAGAACCTCAAAGCAATGGAAATTGCTTGTGCGAATGAAGGTCACTCGGCAGGAGGTCGCAAATCTAACTCTCTCTCTCTCTCTCTCGTTCCAACCCAAAGCATCCCAAAGCGGTGTTTTGCTCTGCGATTTTCGCAAGTGCAACGAAAGAAGCATACACATGCACAAGCCCGTTTGGAGCTTGGCCTTTCCCTTTAGACTTTTGTACCAATTTCGCACAGAAGTCTGCCGGATGCATGCTACGCAGCCCTTCCTTTTCTCTGGATTCTGGATGTACATATTTAATCATATTTAATCATATTTAATCATATTTAATCATATTATATCATATTTACATGAAAAATGAGCCCAAGTATAACTGCAAATAGCCACAGCGGGCGAGCATGTCTTGAGAACACACAAGCTGGAGGCAAGGGACATGATCTGTCTGGAAAAGCCTGCCAGCCTTAGATTCTCAAACAATGTCCTCGCAGGATCTTGGGCGTCCAAAACATGTGCACTGCTAGTGATGGTTATGTCTCCATAAGATCCTGTTTCCGCTGTTTCTCAAAGCATATTTGCATGCTGTTGCTGCGCAAATTCATGCGAGCATCTTCTCTGCTTGACAAATTGCTTTGCATGGGAATGAGCTCGTGGTTTCCAGCTATTTGTAGCATGTCACCTACGCACATCTCACATTTAAAAATGCGGTGTGGGCCTTGAGAATAGATGTAGATGATCCATGATGATCCTATTTTCGTAATGATGCAATCTAATTGGACTGAGCGTGTTTAAGGGTTAGTGTATGCCATCTGGCACATGAACTGTCCGTTCGAATGTCCTGTGCAACTTCACATACTTCACAGATCCCAGTGCGACGACAGTTGGCCTCAACCTTTGTACATTGTAGCCTTGGATAAACTGTCCAAGGACCACACGCTCTCACCCTCAGTCGTCTAGCTGCAGCAAACAGGCCACACCACGCTTTGTCCAGTACTTCTCTGTGTGCATCTTGGTGATCCTTGGATTCATGAAGATTCCCCAGCACAGGCACAACGAAATTGTAGAGAACTGAAAGTCAGACAGGAAGATAGCCACAACAAGAGGTTTGGATAACCTTTTCTGATCAGGACAAAATGCCTCGGCAAGGAGATGCACAAGTTTGCAGTGTGAACCTTCGAACCAACATTGAAATAACCAATGAGGCCTTCAGAAACCTGTGCGATCGACTTGAGACTAGTCTGTGCAAATGATGGATGTTTAAAGACTACCCTAAGATTTGAAGCTGTTCTGCCATCTTTTTGAAATGGCTAGGTCAAATCCGCAAACCGCCACAATGGAAACAAAATCATGTTCAACTGCAAGCATCGGCAACATCAAGGTCATCACAAAGTTTGTACTGTGACCCGTTGTGGTCAGCGTTCCCTTGCGCCCAGACCTCAATGCTCTGGCTCGCAGCTTGAAGGTCACAAGCAAATGTGACAACTGGGAAACGACCGGTATTCGAAGTATTCGAAGTATTCGAAGCAAGCAGCGTTTTGTACAAAGGTGATGGATATATCGCCCTTCTGTCTGTTGGGTCCTGAAGCAGAAAGCATGGTAAGCTGAGCTCCATCTGACCTGCCACCGTTTTGGACTACCTCACCTTATCCAGGTCATTTCGGGTGTTTGAATCAAAAAGTGACCAAATTTGTTGCTGTCGCTCAATGATGTCGTTGCCAACCAAAAGCAGTTGGTCCTTGGCCGCCTCGCATGGCGTCAGATGGAGTGTAGGGACTGCACCTTGGTACGAAAAGGCAATCTCTCGAGAATCTCGTGCTGTCAAAGTGACCACAAAAAGTGCAAAGCACATTGGAAAATTGGTATGTGTATGTATTAATGTATACATATATATATATATATATATATCCGCCGACCCCGGCCGATGCAAGGGGGAGCGCGTAAGGGAAGAAGATGGAAGAAAAGGGGTCCCCTTCCCACCGGTCACGTAACAACAACAACAACAACAACAACAACAACAACAACAACAACAACAACAACAACAACAACAACAACAACAACAACAAGAACGACAACGACAACGACAACAACAACAACAACAACAACAACAACAACAACAACAACAACAACAACAACACAACAACAACAACAACGACAACAACGACAACAACGACAACAACAACAACAACAACAACAAGAACAACAACAACAACAACAACGACAACAACAACAACAAGAAGAAGAACAATAACAAGAACAACACGAACAACAACAAGAACAAGAACAACAACAACCACAAAGACAAACATATAAACCCAAACAAAAACCAACAACAGTAACAATCAACACCAAACAACAACAAACAACAAGAAACAACAACAACAACAACAACAACAACAACAACAACAACAACAACAACAACAACAACAACAACAACAACAACAACAACAACAACAAACAATGACCCTTTGCCGGGGGACCCTGCTGGGTCCCCCTCCCACCGGTCACGTACGTCGATTCCTTGACTCCGGGGTTTTTGTTTCACCGGTGGGGGGTCCTTCCCGGAGTCTCCTCGAGGTACGTGGGGCTCCTTGGGTTGCCCTTCCCGCCCTGATCTGTTCTGGGATTATATGGATTCTTTAGGATTTCAGAAGGGACGTTAGGCAGTTTGTTGCTGCGATTTGGCGTTATTTTCGGCACGAATTTAGGTGGTGTTTTGCTGTTTCGGATGACTTTTATACTAGTTCGTCCTTTAGGGCCTTGGTATTTCCCCGCAGCAGGACTAGCAGGAGCAGCAGCAGCAGCAGTAGCAGCAGCAGCAATAGCAGCAGCAGCACCGTTTGGCCGTCTGAGCGCCGATTTTCTGTTTTGTTTCTAGGGTTTCAGAAGCAATCAGAAGCAACGTTAGACACTTTTTTGGTGGGCTTCTCGGACTAGTTCGTCCTTCAGGGCCATGGTGTTTCGGTGTGGCGAAGGGTACGTTTTGGAGGCCTGCAGCACCAGTTGCAGCAGCAGGACTAGCAAAACCAGCAGCAGCACCGTTTGGCCGTGTCTGAGCGCCGATTTTTTATTTTCTTTCTAGGGTTTCAGAAGCAACGTTAGACATTTTTTGGGTGCGCTTCTCGGACTAGTTCGTCCTTCAGGGCCATGGTGTTTCGGGGTGGCAAAGGGTCCGTTTTAGAGGCCTGCAGCCTGCAGCACTAGCAGCACTAGCAGCAGCAGCAGCAATAGCAGCAGCAGCAGCAGCACCGTTTGGCCGTGTCTGAGTGCCGATTTTCTGTTCTGTTTCTAGGGTTTCAGAAGCAACGTGAGACTCTTTTTGGGTGCGCTTCTCGGACTAGTTCGTCCTTCAGGGCCATGGTGTTTCGGTGTGGCGAAGGGTACGTTTTGGAGGCCTGCAGCACCAGTTGCAGCAGCAGGACTAGCAGCACCAGCAGCAGCAGCAGTAGCAGCAGCAGCAGCAATAGCAGCAGCAACACCGTTTGGCCGTATCTGAGCGCCGATTTTCTGTTTTGTTTCTAGGGTTTCAGAAGCAACGTTAGACACTTTTTTGGTCAGCTTCTCGGACTAGTTCGTCCTTCAGGACCATGGTGTTTCGGTGTGGCGAAGGGTACGTTTTGGAGGCTTGCAGCACCAGTTGCAGCAGCAGGACTAGCAGCACCAGCAGCAGCAGCAGCAGTAGCAGCAGCAGCAGCAGCACCGTTTGGCCGTGTCTGAGCGCCGATTTTCTATTTTGTTTCTAGGGTTTCAGAAGCAACGTTAGACATTTTTTGGGTGCGCTTCTCGGACTAGTTCGTCCTTCAGGGCCATGGTGTTTCGGTGTGGCGAAGAGCTCGTTTGGCCGTGTCTGAGCACCGATTTTCTGTTCTGACTAGGGTTTCTCGGACTAGTTCGTCCTTCAGCGCCATGGTGTTTCGATGTGGCGATGGGTACGTTTTGGAGGCCTGCAGTACCAGTTGCAGCAGCAGGACTAGCAGCACCAGCAACAGCAGCAGCAGCATCGTTTGGCCGTGTCTGAGCACCGATTTTCTGTTCTGTTTCTAGAGTTTCAGACGCAACGTTAGACACTTTTTGGGTGCGCTTCTCGGACTAGTTCGTCCTTCAGGGCCATGGTGTTTCGGTGTGGCGAAGGGTACGTTTTGGAGGTCTGCAGCACCAGTTGCAGCAGCAGGACTAGCAGCACCAGCAGCAGCAGCAGCAGTAGCAGCAGCAGCAGCAATAGCAGCAGCAGCAGCACCGTTTGGCCGTATCTGAGTGCCGATTTTCTGTTCTGTTTCTAGGGTTTCAGAAGCAACGTTAGACACTTTTTGGGTGCGCTTCTCGGACTAGTTCGTCCTTCAGGGCCATGGTGTTTTGGTGTGGCGAAGGGTACGTTTTGGAGGCCTGCAGCACCAGTTGCAGCAGCAGGACTAGCAGCACCAGCAGCAGCAGCAGTAGCAGCAGCAGCAGCACCGTTTGGCCGTGTCTGAGTGCCGATTTTCTGTTCTGTTTCTAGGGTTTCAGAAGCAACGTTAGACACTTTTTTGGGTGCGCTTCTCGGACTAGTTCGTCCTTCAGGGCCATGGTGTTTCGGTGTGGCGAAGGGTACGTTTTGGAGGCTTGCAGTACCAGTTGCAGCAGCAGGACTAGCAGCACCAGCAACAGCAGCAGCAGCATCGTTTGGCCGTGTCTGAACACCGATTTTCTGTTCTGTTTCTAGAGTTTCAGACGCAACGTTAGACACTTTTTGGGTGCGCTTCTCGGACTAGTTCGTCCTTCAGGGCCATGGTGTTTCGGTGTGGCGAAGGGTACGTTTTGGAGGCTTGCAGTACCAGTTGCAGCAGCAGGACTAGCAGCACCAGCAACAGCAGCAGCAGCATCGTTTGGCCGTGTCTGAACACCGATTTTCTGTTCTGTTTCTAGAGTTTCAGACGCAACGTTAGACACTTTTTGGGTGCGCTTCTCGGACTAGTTCGTCCTTCAGGGCCATGGTGTTTCGGTGTGGCGAAGAGCTCGTTTGGCCGTGTCTGAGCACCGATTTTCTGTTCTGTTTCTAGGGTTTCAGAAGCAACGTTGGACATTTTTTGGGTGCGCTTCTCGGACTAGTTCGTCCTTCAGCGCCATGGTGTTTCGATGTGGCGATGGGTACGTTTTGGAGGCCTGCAGTACCAGTTGCAGCAGCAGGACTAGCAGCACCAGCAACAGCAGCAGCAGCATCGTTTGGCCGTGTCTGAGCACCGATTTTCTGTTCTGTTTCTAGAGTTTCAGACGCAACGTTAGACACTTTTTGGGTGCGCTTCTCGGACTAGTTCGTCCTTCAGGGCCATGGTGTTTCGGTGTGGCGAAGGGTACGTTTTGGAGGCCTGCAGCACCAGTTGCAGCAGCAGGACTAGCAGCACTAGCAGCAGCAGCAGCAGCAGCAGCAGCACCGTTTGGCCGTGTCTGAGTGCCGATTTTCTGTTCTGTTTCTAGGGTTTCAGAAGCAACGTTAGACACTTTTTGGGTGCGCTTCTCGGACTAGTTCGTCCTTCAGGGCCATGGTGTTTCGGTGTGGCGAAGGGTACGTTTTGGAGGTCTGCAGCACCAGTTGCAGCAGCAGGACTAGCAGCACCAGCAGCAGCAGCAGCAGTAGCAGCAGCAGCAGCAGCAATAGCAGCAGCAGCAGCACCGTTTGGCCGTATCTGAGTGCCGATTTTCTGTTCTGTTTCTAGGGTTTCAGAAGCAACGTTAGACACTTTTTGGGTGCGCTTCTCGGACTAGTTCGTCCTTCAGGGCCATGGTGTTTTGGTGTGGCGAAGGGTACGTTTTGGAGGCCTGCAGCACCAGTTGCAGCAGCAGGACTAGCAGCACCAGCAGCAGCAGCAGCAGTAGCAGCAGCAGCAGCACCGTTTGGCCGTGTCTGAGTGCCGATTTTCTGTTCTGTTTCTAGGGTTTCAGAAGCAACGTTAGACACTTTTTTGGGTGCGCTTCTCGGACTAGTTCGTCCTTCAGGGCCATGGTGTTTCGGTGTGGCGAAGGGTACGTTTTGGAGGCTTGCAGTACCAGTTGCAGCAGCAGGACTAGCACCACCAGCAACAGCAGCAGCAGCAGCATCGTTTGGCCGTGTCTGAACACCGATTTTCTGTTCTGTTTCTAGTGTTTCAGACGCAACGTTAGACACTTTTTGGGTGCGCTTCTCGGACTAGTTCGTCCTTCAGGGCCATGGTGTTTCGGTGTGGCGAAGGGTACGTTTTGGCGGCTTGCAGCACCAGTTGCAGCAGCAGGACTAGCAGCACTAGCAGCAGCAGCAGCAGCAGCACCATTTGGCCGTGTCTGAGCGCCCACTTTCTGTTCTGTTTCTACGGTTCCAGAAGCAACGTTAGACACTTTTTTGGTGGACTTCGCGGACTAGTTCGTCCTTCCGGGCCATGGTGTTTCGGTGTGGCGAAGGGTGCGTTTTGGAGGCCTGCAGCAGTTGCAGCAACAGGACTAGCAGCAGCAGCAGCAGCACCGTTTAGCCGTGTCTGAGCGCCGATTTTCTGTTCTGTTTCTACGGTTTCAGAAGCAACGTTAGACACTTTTTTGGTAGGCTTCTCGGATTAGTTCGTGCTTCAGGGCCCTAGCACCAGTTGCAGCAGCAGGACTAGCAGCACCAGCAGCAGCAGCAGCAACAGCAGCAGCAGCAGCACCGTTTGGCCGTGTCTGAGCGCCGATTTAGGGTTTCAGAAGCAACGTTAAGACCTTTTTTGAGTGCGCTTCTCGGACTAGTTCGTCCTTCAGGGCCATGGTGTTTCGG